GTGTGTGTGTGTGTGTGTGTGTGTGGTACTATATATATATATATGTGTGTGTGTGTGTATGTGTGTGTGTGTGTGTGTGTGTGTGTGTTGTATCTTTACTAAACTGCCAGCATTCTTGTATATTGATGTATACCTATTTACAAAGATCGTACAATACCCCACACATACACAACCACGATCACACACACTGGAGCTATATTTTATCCTAAATTTGAATAAATAATTTGAAGCACACACCCCGGTGTTATGTTTCATCCGAATTTTGAATTCAAAATTCTCGCATTGTTTGAAGACGTCGAATATCATGTCTCTGACACTGAAGTCACGGTAATCCCATTCAGGGTTGGGAAGTGATTCCACCGCCTGCAGGGAGTGTAGAAGGGTAATATATATTTTAGTATAATAAGAATGTTCCAAAATAGGTTGGATGTACCTGATTTTATATGCAACTGCTTTTGAGGTGTAGAGTGACAAGAAGATGATGTGGTATCCTTAAGTACAGGCTGCTTCTGTTTTTGCTGTCATGCAATTGCTTCAGGATGGCATACCCAATAAGAGTTTTAGTCAACAGTGAGTTAATGCTTATGATACTCAATAACATACAATATTGCTTGATCAGCACGAGCTAAATGATATACTCAATGCGTTCAAGCTAGGAAAAGAATATATTTTAAACGGGGGGGGGGAAGGAGGTACATGGGCAACAAATGGGCCAACTACAGTCACGGCATGACACCACGAATCACGTACACCAAACCTCCAAAATGTAGAAGTTACCCATATCTGCCCACTTAAGATCTTATGCCCTGCCATAGTATAGACAGTCTCGACTGTGTGATTAGAGCCTATATTGCTCGCTGCACAACGCTCTACTATTGAGAGTTTGGTAACGATTTATACATATGCTACAGACGTAAACATACCGCTGATATGATATCCAAGCCTGTCTTGAGACTACACTGTGCACATGGGATACCATAACACACCTACCTGGAAGCACATTCTCACGTACAAACAACCAAGGTATGCTTATACTCTAGCGATAATGGACGAGAGTGACCCAATAGTCCTCCACAATTCAGGTGATACCATGCCCAACCCTTACGCCTACTTACCACTGGCGTGTCTATGCGTTGTTTAGCCAACCGACAGGTGACAAACACTCTGTGGGCGTTCTTCTGATGGTCCAGTACGAGGGCACTGGGAAACCGCAACCCAGCCCCACGGTACACCCGGATAAACAGCCGGGTGCCAGCGATCTTGCTGTATTTATTGGATATATGACAGTATTGTACGCATGTTTGTGTAGAATGATATATTGTAGATAGTACTGTGTATAGTGATATGAAGATCATTTAAGCGTGTGTTGACGATACAAATGTGTAAAAACTCGAGCGCCAGCAATCCTCCTGGAAGCTAATTATTATTGTATGCATGTATGTGTAGAACAAAATATGATATTCCTGTATAAAGATCACATATTAGACAGGCAGTCTGTATTCTGGCGACTAGTAAGACAATCATGAGTGCATAAACGAGACGCACTTATGCCAACCACAAAGTACCAGTCACCACAGAGATAGTTCGGGACATACTGTGCTTCTGCCGCTGAACCGTCAGCTGCTCAGCGGAGCCAATTGGAGCAGGAGTAGACCATGGAGTAGTGCAGGAATGCATGGAGTAGTGCAGGAATGCATGGAGTAGTGCAGGAATGCATGGAGTAGTGGGGCATGGCACGATGCGAATAAAACGACGAGAAGTATGAGATTAGGCAACGGTAGAAAACTAGTCCGAACATTTAAAACCAGGTGCATATTTTGGATTCCGCCTGGAAGTATGGATGTGTATAGTTGCGGTTTATTGTTCGTACTATAGTGACTGTGATCATGCGATCACATCCAGCACGAAGCAGATAACACAATGGGGAGGCCTCAGCACGCACTCCCGGGCGAGCCATACGACACAGTACACAAATGCATCACATGCTATCAGAGACAAATGGGCTTCACCGCTACTACTGGGATTGGCACATGGAGATAGGTGGGTAGGCATAGTATTATTAAAAGACAGTTAGGCATACTATTAAGACTGCCCCGCAAGCGAGTGAGACTGGCATAGAAAACATCATACGTACTTATCGGCGTGTTGATTGGTGTACACGACGCAGATTAAGATCAGTTTAAGATACACTATACAACCATATAACTACATCCACAGATTAACTAGACCACAACAAGAGGGTATGTATGGACAGTACCAACAAGACTGCCCCGCAAGAAAGTGGGACTGGCATAGGAATTATCATGCGCATTCAACAATGTGTTACTTGATGTACACGACGCATATTAGAAATAATATACAACAATAGAACTGAACCAAAAGACTATTACAGACCACGACAAAGGGATACGTATGGGGAGTACTATCAAGACTATCCCGCAATAAAATGGGACTGGCATAGAAGAACATTATTCGCACTCAACGGCACAGCGTGCTGATTGATGTGGTGTACGCAACGCCGATTAGGATCGATATACAACCGTTTAACTATATAAGAGTGGTATATATCTTTGTAATAAGAAATAGACCCTGACAAGAAGTACAGGCCTATAGAACAACGCAACGAGCTATGCGTATAACGCATTTAAAAAGCGTTCAATTCTGCTGGTGACACGCACCAGAGTGGTACTACAATGTGTAAGTAGTAAACTTCTCAGACCATACGTACGAGACTATTGGACTAAAAATATATAGGCCTATATGTGATAATTATAGTGCTACAAATGACTACGTCTTAGAGACCTGAAGCGATATAGCATCGTAGTCAACTTGGTCAAGCCGCGTGTGCACTCACCGTATCGCTGTACTGCATCGAGCATTCTGTCCGCTCTGTTTATTAAAGAGAAAAAGAAGATGCGTTTAGCTGCCTTACCGAGATAGTGGCATGGCACGAAATACAGCGTGGTGTACGCGTGAGACTAATGCCGAGTAGAGTGGAAGGGGGGGATAGTGTATACGCTATGTGGATTGTAGCATGGCGCGAAATAGAGCGTGGTGTAAGCGTGAGACAATGCCGAGTAGAGTAGGGGGGGGGAACTGGGTACGATGGATTGGGAAACGATTATAGTGTATACGCTATGTGGATAGTAGCATGGCGCGAAATAGAGCGTGGTGTAAGCGTAAGATTATTGCTGAATGGTCGGAATGGACCTTAGTGAAATGAATTGAAGCGAAGCAATTGGTCTCCGATTCGAACTAATGCGATGTGTGAACTGATGCAATGTCACTCGAGCGAGGGACTCAATGAATCTAGACAGTACCTAACAGCCAATGGATGCTATACACGAATAGGGCTTTGTATATGCGAACTTATGTGGATCTGGTTCGACACGCGGATATGGGCTTGATTCCGCGCTAGACATTCATTGGTGGACATACGCAATGGGAAACTACTGGAGCACACTTAGTATGATTTGACCCAAAGCACTATATACACATGGGCGTACACCGGATTCTTACCACATGTCAGAGATTGGATCGGTTAACTGGTACCCATGCCATTAAACAGCTCATAACACTGCGATGCTCGATACTGTTTTCAAAAACGCGAATGCACGGGCGGAGTTGTCTCCAATTTTAATATTCCACGAGAAACTGTGAAAACATATATACGCATAT